TTATACGAAGTTATAACGAATGTAAGTTTTCCACGAGACGCAGCCGCCGAGCGAGACGCCCGCGCACCTTTTGGCCGCCGTAGCCAAAGCGGAGCTGGGGCGCGGCGCGGGTGGCGAGCGGGCTGGCCATGGCGGCGGCGGCGGCGGCGGCATCGTCCCTGGCGAGGAGCTGGCTGTCGTTGTTGGCGGAGGCGGCGGCGGCGAGGGTGCGCTTTTCGTTCTGGTGCTTGATCTGGCGCTTGTTCTGGTATCCGCGGGGCTTGGGGACCTCTACGGAGCGCGGGAGGAAGCCGTGCGGGAGGATGTCGAGGACCTCTGGGAAAAAGGCGGTGCCCATCTTTGTAGGGACGACGGACGATGCGCCGCGGGAGCTGGCCATGATGGGGAGGGCGAGGGTCTTGTCGGTGTACTCGATGGTGGTCTTTGCCATGGCGGCGGGCATGGCCATGGCGAGCGCCACGCAGCTGAACAGGGCGAGCTTCATGGCGGGGCGAGAGAGGGGGAGAGGGAGCGGAAAGGACAGCAAAGAGTGTTATCCGTGGCCAAGGGAGCGTGGTGGTATCTAGGTGCCTGTCGAGGCTGTGATGGTGCAGAAGTGTCCGCTGCGTTTGAGGGGGAGGATCCGTTGGCGGGGTTCCGGGGAGGGAAGCTAAGGCCGTGACAAGAAGGGGAGAGAGGCGAACAGGGGACCGGAAAGGAGACGAGAGGGGAGGGAAGGGGAGGGGAGGGGAGGGGAGGGTGGCGCCGACGTTGATGGTGGTGGTGGTGGTGGTGGTGGTGGTGGTGGTGGAGACGAAACGAAAGACGGGAAAGGGAAAGAGAGCGACAGCGACAGCGACAACAACGACGAGAGCGGCAGACGATATCAAGTCGGAGTTGGGGAGCCGCTGGTTGGGGTATATACATAGGGTACGTACGTGCAGCCAAAGAAGACCCACCTTGCACGCACTTGCCTCGCTCTTGCTTCCAGGTAACCGTAGCTCACGTCGGCAGCTGCAGTCATGATGATGGGTCCGTGTGGCCAGGCAGGTGACCATTGTCGACGTGCGGTGCAGCAGAGCGAGCCGGGCGAGGGCGAGGGCGAGGGCGAGGGCGAGGGCGAGGGCGAGGGCGAGGGCGAGGGCGAGGAACGCGCCAGTGGCCAGGCTGACCAGGCAGCCCAGCCTCATGCTTGGCTCGTACATACATAGCTCGGCATGTCGCCGCGGCGCGCTAAGCCACGCACCTCGACCCGCCACGGCTCGGCGACAGGCAAGCCAAGGCAAGGCACGCCCCTCTCTTGACACCGTCCGGCCCCGGCATCCTGACTGGGTCCAAGCGATGGAAGCGCGGCAAAGACGAGGCAGAAGCGTGCGTGCGGTGGGGCGGGGCGGGGTGGGCAGGGGTCGGTGCGGGTGCAGCCGAAAGCATCGAGCAATAAGCCAGCCAGCATCAAGCATGTTGGGTGCGGCACCCTAGCGTCTTGGCCTGTTGATGCACGCCACCGCCAAGAGAGCGGGCAGAGAGAGGCAGGGTACGGTGGAATGTCGGTTTCAGCCTCTCCGTCGTCGTCGTCGTCGTCGTCGTCGCCGTCTGCTTGACTGGCTCGCTCGCTTGCTCTCCAGCAAAAGCGGGCATCGAGTGGTGCACGCCTGCTTTGCTTTCCCTCCGCGCTCGTCGAGGCTGGGCAAGCGACGGTGATCGTCTGTCGTTGAAGAGGCGGCGGGTGCAAAGGGCCGCCAAGGCGACGAGGCGGGGAGCGGAGCAGAAATGTCGCGCGGCGGGGCCATCAGGCAGGCGCCCACCCGCCGACCAACACCGGCCTAGTTACTGTCGCCTGCCTCGCTCGACGCCTGTCTGGCTGGCTGGGGCTGGCCACCTCGTCGTACAGTACGTGCGTCCGGCATGGGACGGCATCAGACGTACGGATGGCTCGACAGGCTAGGACGACGACCCACCAACCAACCAATTGCAACCAACGATACGATGCAAGGATCGACCGCCCCCCCCCATGCATGCTGCACTTTCAGACGGGCGTGCCTGCATACAGCGCGCTCGTCGTCGCCCTTCTGCCACCTCTTCTCCGCTGTACCTACCCTCCAGGCGAGGCGACGACAGGCGAGCGAGGAACCGTACGTCGATCTTTCCTACAGCCTCCTCTTACCCGGCCGGCGCTCGCCTGCTTGAGAGGCAGAGGGGGACCCCACTCCGACCACCAGCTCCGACTACTAAGGCTTCCGACCTCGCATCCCATGCCTCTGCCGTCCAGATCGTCGTCGGGTACTGGATGTACACCGCACCTCGACCTCGACCGAGGCCAACGAGGATCAAGGGCGACAGCAGCGCCGCGCGTACCTTGTCGAGACCTGCGTGTGCCCTTGCTTGCTTTGTAGTCAGACCAGGCCGGCCAGCAAAGGCAAGCCTTACTCACCACCACACGCGCCGCAGCGCGCATACCTACCGTACCTCATGTAGCCTTGCCTCCTTCCTGCCTGGAATGCACCCCACATATCCGTATCCTTCCGCATCCCTCCGCATCCTCCCTCGACCTCGCCTCGTCGCGCCCCTCGCTCGCTCGCTCGCTCGCTGTACGCCACATTTCTCAATCGACCCCCCGTCCGCGCCATCGAGACACGTGACCACCCACCTCACCTACCAAGCAATCCACACGCGCACACACACACACATCGCCGCCACCACTGACTACTGATAAGCAACCGCAATGATGGGATTGATTCGAGACGGATCACCGTCGATAAATGAATGGATGTGTGGGCTGGAGCGATGCACGGATCAATGCTGGGGCCGCGATTCGGATCGACGACCCATCCCCTCGCCGCTGCACCGTCACTCGGCGCAGCTGCAGCCGGCCCCGTCCCAGTCGCGCCCTCAGGCCGTGGCACCAGCAGCGGCAGCGCCCTCGAACCGCACCGTCCTGTCGCCCGCCTCGTCGTCGTCGTCGTCTTCGAACGCCTCGGCGCCACCGCTGGCCGCCAGCCCATCGGACCGAGCAGCGTCGCCGTCGCCGTCGCCGCTGCTGCGTCCAGATCCGGACCGCGCATCGCTCACCGTCTCGGCGTCCGTCTGCCCTCCGCCGAGCGAGAGCCCATCCTCGTCATCGCGATCCGCACCCTCGCCATCCTCATCGTCGTCATCCTCCTCCTCCTCCTCGTCGTCGTCGTCGTCGAGCCCGTCGGCGGCAACGCGCGCCGCGTCCCGCCGCGCCTCCTCGTCCTCCATCGCATTCACCAGCAGTGCCTCGTCCAGCACCTCGGACGGAACGATGCGGCTGAAGGTGACGATCGACGCGCTCGTCGCAGAGCGCTGCCGCATCGGAGGCCGGCTGACGTGCTGGAAACTGCCGCCAACCGCCGTGTGCGGTCCCAGGTACGAGTTCGAAGTCGAGCTCTTGAGCGGCGACAGGCTGGCCGCGCCCCGCATCAGGCCCCGCCGACCCGGCAGGCTCGTCGAGCGGTCCATGGGCGTCGGCACCGACGAGGCACCGCCCCGCTCAAGCGCTTCCGCAAACATCGACGCATACGACTGGCTCGCAGTGACACCGCCGGCATCGGCGTCGTTGGCAGCCGCCATGAGCCCAGCCGTTGTCGGAGGCTGCTGGCCTGCAGCTCGGCCGTCGTCGGGTGGCTGTCGAGACTCTGTATCGGAGCGCAATGCGACGCGCTCCCGTCCCACCGGGCCTCGATCGATGCCGCTGGCGACGCTCCCGTCCTCTGGGATCGTGCTGACCCCGTGGGAGCCTCTGACCGACGATGATGGCGCAGCGGCTGCTTCTGCACGGGCGTTGGCATGCGTGCTTGCGGCCGCCTGCGCGCTCGTCCGCTCGTCGACGTCAATCTCGCCAATCACCGACATCCGACCTGGATACTGCGGCAGGTCCTCGCCCTCATCGGCGAGCCGCGAGCCGTCCTCGCGGAACAGCTGCGTGTAGGCCGGCAGCAGCGGCACCCCGCCCACCGCCGCAGCGTCGGCCTGTGCAGCAATCGAGGGCACAGGGGCAAACGAAGTCGAGAGGAGCGATGGCGAACCAGACGTGGACGTCGAGGGTCCTGCGCGGCTCGGCTGCAGCGGCTGCACCGTGATGGGGGCAAACTGGTCCTGCACCTCCTTGGGCGGCGACTCGGTGAAGCGCACGGGCACGCACATGACCAGCGCCTGGCTCCAGTTGTGCTCCTCGGCGCTCGCCCGATGGCTCAGCCCGAAGCCCAGCTTGACCTTGAGCTTGTGCCGGATCCGTACGTAGGGGCTCTCAAAGTCGGGGATCAGCTGCGCGCTCCCCTTGCTGCGCGCCACCGAGGCGTTGGACGACGCCAGTGGCAGGTTGATCGTCATCCGAACCCGGCCGCGGGTGAGATCGACGCCGTCGCCGTCCTCGCCAGAGAAGACGTAGGTGGCGCGCGAGCCGACGTCCTCGGACATCCCCTGGTCGCCCAGGGTGTGGGAGCTGCCGTTGGCACCCGCGCTCCTGGCCTCTGCGCCGTCGCCCATCGGGTTGCCGTCGAGGTTCGGATCGAGCATCGCGCTGGCAAAGTTCGACAGGCGGCTGAGCGCGTTGGCATAGGCTCGCCTCCCGCGCGACGGGCCCCGCTGGCTGCCCTGGCCGGACGCATCCCGTGGGTCGGCAACATCGACGATAGAACCGTCCGAGATGCCGGATCGCTGGGCCTGGGCTGCGTTCAGCCTGTTTGCGGCCGCCTGCAGGTGCGACGCTCGAGACATCGAGCTTCCGGCCGCGGTGGCAGCGCTCGGCCCGCCCGACGTGGGAGGTTCGATCGGAGAGCGCGGTGCAGCAGTCGAGGAGAGGGGCGAGGAGCGTCCGTCAAGCTGAGGCAGCGGCGGAGCGAGACCCTCGTCAGGACCTCCCGTGGCGGCATAACCGGCTCGGAGCGATGACGAGCTTGCCCGCGCTCTGGCAGCGGCGCTCGGGCCGGCATCGCCGCCAGCACCCAAAGGCGCCGGGGGCAAGGCCGGGGTGCCACTGCCGGAACCTGGCCCACTCGAGCCAGCTCGGCGTGCATCTGCATCGCCAAGGGTCGACATGCGGTCCTTGCTCTTGGCCTTGCCCTTGCCCTTGCCCTTGCCCTTTTCCTTGTCTTTGCCGCCGCTCGACGATGCCCCTTTGCCGGAGCCACGCTCTTCGCCCTGGTGCGCTGCGTCCTCGGCTTGCGGAGGCGGCGAGGGCGGCGGGCCCACGATCGTCGTCCTCGTGCGTTCGACGTTGTTGTCGAGCGGATCGGGCGCGGTACCCTGCCTGAGCAGGCTGAGGTGGTTGAGTACCAGGTCGCGGTCGTAGCCGTGGCGCAGCCGCACCTCGGTGCCCGGCATCGACGAGAGCTGCGCCTCGCGCTTCGGGCTCGGAGCGATGCTGGGAACCTCGCTGGGCAGCACCTTGTTGGGCGGTGGCGGGACCGGGAAGGTGGCGCAAAAAGTCCGGGACGGCACCGAGCTGTGGCGCTCCGTCTGCAGGCAGACGAGCTCCATGTCGCGCAGCCGGAGGCCGCCGAGCTGGCGCACGACGTTCCAGCCCTCCGACTTGCTCACCTCGATCTGCACGCCAAAGCTCAGCGTGTCGCTCTTGGGCCCAGACACCTGGACGTGCGACGGCAGCGACAAGGTGAGAGAGAACGGCAGGCCTTCGGATCCGCTGCCCTGGCCAAAGATGCCGAACTCGGCCGGAGGGTAGAGCACCGGTCGATGGAGAAAGTGGCGCATCGGAGCCGACGAGCGCGCGCCTCGCGACGAGGTGCGTGGCGGGGAGCGCGTGTTGCCGACGTCGGACGACATGCTGGCCGCCGTCGCGCTCCTGGGCAGCGAGCCAACGTTGGTCTGTGGCAGCATTGCCGTCGACGCCGACGGCGTGAGGGCGGCAGCGGCGGCGGCCCGCTTGGTGGGGTCGCTCGGCATGTCAAAGGCGCTGGGCGCAGGCGGGAACATGGGCGGCTCTTCGTCCCTCGAAGCCGGACGGACCGGGCCTACGTCGCCGACGGGCCCAGCTGGCGTCGCGGCCGTGGCCGGAACGGCAGAGGAATCGGGTCCGATCTGTGCAGCCGGCATCAGCAGCGAAGGCGCGGCCGCAGGGATTGCGCCAGACGCGCTGGGCGAGACGCTCGGTGTGCCACCTGCGGCAGTCACAAAGGTGTCCGAGCTCTGGCTCTGAACCAGGCTCGCCTCAGGTGGTCGGCTGCCGCTCGATGGCGTCGATGGCTCTCGGGCTGACGCTGGACCGTGTGCCGCGGCAGCGAGCGCCGTCAGCGAAGAAAGCGTGGCCGATCTCTGGAAGGCACCACCAGGAAGGGCCGGAGTCGGGCCGGCGAGACCGGGCAGGTTGCGGTCGCTGCCGATGAGGGCCATGCGCGCCACCGGGACGGGCACCACGTCGCGGCAGCGGCGGATGACGATGGTGATGGCGCCGCTCTCGATCCTGCGCTTGCCGTCCGCCTGGACCTCGTTGCGGGCCTTGCCGAGACCATTCTCCTCGATCGCGAGCAGCTCCGCCTGTGCGCTGCGGTCCGAGTCAATCTGGCCGGGAGCGAGGCCGCGGTTGGCGGACGAGTCGGCGCCGCTTCCGCTTGACCCCTTCTTTGGCGTGCGCAGCTGGAGCTGCTTGGCCCTCTTGCCCAGCCAGCTGCTCTTGGGCCTCTCGGACTTGGTGCTCGATGCCACGCTTCCCTGGGGATCGGCCGCTGAGCGCACGGTGGAGCGCAGCGTGGCCGGTGCCGACCCACTGAGACCGCCATCGCCAAAGACGTCCGAATTCGTTCGCCCGTTTGCGCCAGCTTTGGCGCTGGCAGCGCTGCTCGTGGCGAAGGGGTTCGAGAAGAGCGACGCGGCACCTGCCGTTGCGGGTGCCCACTCGAAGGGCGAGCCGGACCTCACTTGGCGGCCATCGATGACGGCGACCGCCTGTAGGCAGTAGAAGGTGCCGCCGAAGCGCGATCGCAGCGATCCCGGCAGCCAGCCGGGCACGGCCAGGTCGAACTCGATGTCGTACTTGACCGGCTGGTCGGCATCGGAACGGCTGGCATGGAGCTGCTGCTGCTGGCCCTGTGTCTCGGGCTGCGCCGAGACTCCGTCCGAGCCTGCATCAACCTCGCAGACGCAGCCGCCGCTCTGCAGCAGCTCCTGAGAGACGCTGGCGAGCTTGATGGCGTTGAACCTGCCCGTGGCATCGACGTACATGGCAAAGCCGGAGAAGGTGACGGTGAGCGAATCGACCTTGACGGTCGCCCGTGCCTCGGGTGGTCGGTAGCCATCGATGGCTTCGCCCGCCAGGTCTTGGCTCGCCGTCGAAGCGGAACGCGGCGGCTCATCGGGCGACGTGATGCGAACCGGGGAGGCACTCGGGCCTGCGACAGGGCGTCCCTCGTGGAACGTGCTCTGCGCTGGCTCCTCGATCAGCGCCGAGGATGCGAGGTTCGATCCGGGCGACAGGAGGCTCGAGCTCTGCCCGGCTCGGGAAGGAGAGGCGGCCGTCGCCGGACTGGCGAGGCTGGCGGTGTGACGGTGGGCAGCGTGTGTGTGCCGCATCTTTGTCGGCGAGGCGGGATCGTGGATGCTGGCGGCCCTGCTGAGGCCGAGCGGCTCGCCGCTCGGCTGCCGTGGCGCCGGCCTGGGCCTTGGCTTGGGGATCGTCAGCACCACAGCCCCGGAGAGTGAGTAGTTGGAGCTGGTCTGGGTCGAGCCGAACATGACGATATCGTCGGTCAAGGGCTCGACGGCCAGGGACACGCCGCTGCCGAGGTCGGTGGGAGCCTGCCGACCGGGCGACGAGCCGCGGACTCGCTGCACCGGATCCACCCGCAGACCGGCGCCGTCCTCGGCCTGCCTCATCTTGCCGAACGCGCTGCTACTCGACGGCGGCGCCGACGCCGAAGCGTTGATGTTCCTGGTGCTGGAGCGGCGCTGTTCGGCGCTGTCCAGCCTGGCGAGGAAGGAGGGCTGGGACCGCGAGGGCGAAGGCGGCAAGTCCTGCTCGCCGTCGAGCCCCTGGCTCAAGCCCGAGGCAGAAGCCGGAATGGCCGAAGCGCGTCGAGAGCGGTCGACGGCAGGGGCGAGCTGTTGGGACGGCAGGACGATGTTGCCACTGCTCCTGCGGCGACCCTCGATCGGTGTGGGCTGTACCGCCAACGAGTCGGCTGGCTGTGGCGACTGCGCGGCGGCCTTGGCAGCAGCGAGCAGGGGCATCGAGACCGGCGCCGAGGGGGAGGCCGCTGCAGCTGCGGTGCTAAGTGCATCCTCAGAAGCTGGCTCGCTGCTGAGGAAGTCGAGCAAGCTCATCTCGGCGCGCCTCTTGGGGCGCGGCAGGAAGTCGGGGTCATCGTCGCCATCATCGCCGTTCTCCCCGTGCTCATCGTCCATCCTGCTTGCATCGTTCCGACTTCGTGCGCCCACGGCGCTGCCAAGACTGCCCCCAGCAGCGCGGCTGAATGCCGAATGTCTGTTGCCCGCTGATGATGACATCGGAGCGGCTGCCGCCTTGGGCACCATCGAGTCTCGCAGCGAGCGGATCGAGACGGGCCCGGTGAGTCGGGAGGGCGACGCCTGGCGATCGAGCGATGGCAGGGCAGAGCCGGGCGCCGAGGGAGACGCGGCGCCGAGCGAGGCTATTGATGCTAGATTCGAAGACGAGGCACCGGCGCTGGTCCCAGGATTGGAGTCAGTCCGCGCAGGCACCTGGAAGAGCAGTCGGGAGGCCGACGTCGATGGCGCTGAGGCTGTCGCCGACTGCGGCAGCACGTCGCCGTCGGCCGGGCCGGATGTGGCCGCTGGATAGGCGCCGCTGTCGACGAGCGCCGCGTCCGATGAGGGGCTGACGGTGAATGTCGGCAAGCCAGCCGAGCGAGAGCTGCCGGAGTGATCTGCATCTGGCCTTGGGAGGCTCGGCGTCCTCGTTGAGATGCGGAGAGGATCCGCTGGAATGCCGTAGGCGCCGGAAGCGGGATGCGCTAGCCCGATGGCAATCGCAGGGGCGGGAGCGGGAGCGGGAGCGAAATGCGGGGCGCGCTCTGCCGTGCCGCTGGTCGCTGCATCGGCTGATTCTTCGAACGCCTTTTCCACTGCCGCTTCGTTCCTCGCCACAGTGCTGCTCGTCGGCGGTGGCGAGCTTCCGAGGTCATTGTCGTGGCTCTGCATCAGAACGCCTTCGTGCAGCAGGTCGGAGGGTGGACGGCTGTCGCCGCTGACGACCTTGTCGTGCGAAACGGTCCGCGGCGATCGAGACTCGGCTCCATTCTGCTCCCGGATGAAGCGGCTCGGGAGCTCTGGCAGCTCCTGTGTCTCTGCATCGGCCTGGAGGCTGGCTGCGCTTCGGACGAGCACCGGGCCGACGCTGTGCCTCCGCGAGCGCGAGCTGGTGCGCTCGCGAGGCGCGACAGCGCCGCCTCCCTGGGCGCGGCTGCTCCAGGTCGATGTGTCGAGGGCGAGGCCGCGTCCGCCAGCGGCGCGGCCCGCGCCGTCATCCTCGCGGCCGCTGCTGGTCGAGGGCGCCTTGGGCAGCTTGGAGCCCTTTGGCTTCGACTTGATGATGCCACTGAAGAGGCTGGAGCGCTTCGACCGGGTCGCCGGCGTGGCTCGCAGTTTGGGGTCGTCTGGGTTGTGCAGCCGGTGGTGGTTAGCGAGGAAGGCCGAAGGCAGGATGTCCGGAGACCCGCCTTCCGACTGCTGCGGCCGATGCCTCATGGCGGCGACGGCCGCGCTCTCTGTGGCAGGCATTCCGGCCACAGCTGCTTATGTGGCACAGGATCCAGATGGGGTGAGGAGGCTGGGAAACGAGGCGGGAAGTGGCGCGAGAACTCTCCTGCTCAGCCGACCATGGACGATTGGATGCGATGCTCGGGGTTCGTCTGCCGAGGTGCGATCGGAGCGAGAGGCTGCTCAAGGATCAGCGAAAGAGGCTAGAAACGGCTGAAGGGACAACGCAGAGGCAGCGCATCGAGCAGACGACGGCGTGCAGCGTGCTCGGAGGCTCGATGACAGGCCGAGCCGATGAAGCGGCACTCACTTGGGTGGTGAAGGCAGGGAGCCCGGAGGATGCAGAGGTGCAGTATCGCGGTAAGAAGGCCGGGGTCTGAGATGTGGCGATAGGCCAAAGGCAAGCAGAGTCGATCGCAGAGGGTCGCTGGCAAAGGAGTTCCGAAAGGCCGATCAGGTGCCGCAGCTGGTGTGAGGTTGCGAGATTGCGAGATGCGAGCAAAGCAAGCGTGGACGAAGACGCCAGGCAGGTGCGTCGGCGATCGCTGCCGCACGTCCGACAGAGCGTCAGCGAGGGCAGATTCCCTGTGGCTCGGATGAGATGCTGAGGGGGAGCGGCCGTTGCGGCGGCAGCAGCAGCAGTATATAAAGGTATGCGAGGATGTCGTCGGCTCGTGGCTGGTCCAGGTGAGAGCGTTGCGGAAGATGCACGGGATGGCGTTGGTCGTGGTGGTGGTAGTAGTGTGTGACGACGCAGCGAGCAGTGAGAAGGGCCAACAGGCAAGCAGTACGGCAGGCAAATGCGGGAGCGGGAGCGGGCAAGCAGGGTGCGGGGCTGTCGGATACCGGTAACTTGGCTGGTTTGTCGAGTCGATTCGAGTCGAGTCGGAACGAGGCGAGGCGAGGCGAGGCGAGGCGAGGCGAGGCGGCAGGGGAAAGCGGTATGGGCGGCGGTGTGCGGTGCTATGGCGATATGTGGTGAAGGGGGACCGGGGTGGACGCTGGTGGTGGTGGAACGAGCAGCATGCAAGGGAGACGGCGGTCGAGCGAGACGAAGGAGTAAGTAGTCGGCGATCCGGGCGAGCGAGCCAGCCAGGCCAGGCAAGCCAGGCCAGGCAAGCCAGGCCAGGCCAGGAGGCTGCAGCAGCCAGGAGGGAGCAGCAGCTGCCGGCTGCCAGCTTGGATTCGCTCGCCGAGGCGGGTCCACCACCGCGAGCGACCCTTGCTTGCCTGGCCTGGCCTGGCCTGCTGGCCTGCCCCACCTCACTCTGTCCCGTCGAGCCGAGCCGCCGAGCCATAGCCAGGCCAGATAGAGGCAGGCGGCCCTGGCCTGGCCTAGCAGCCTGCCCGGCCCTAACGCACGCCCATGGCAGCCCTCCTGGCTCTGCTGCTTGCTCGTTGGCTCGCTCGCTCCCTCGCTCGCTCTGCTTGTTTGCGCCGTCGAGAGGGCCCCGCACCCTGGCTGGCCTGGCTCTCTCGCTCGCTCGCTCGCTCTCCTCTTCCAAGACGACGGACGGCTCGTTGCCCAAGCCTCGACGCCCGGACCCTCGAGCCCCAAGTCAGCCGTCGTCGCTGGCGCAGAGTCATCGACGTCGTCACCCGCTGCCACCATCGACCACAGGCAGGCAGGCAGCCGGGCAGGCAGCTGCGCAATCATCCTACCTGCCACCTTGCTCAGATGCCTAGCTCGCTCCCTCTTTCTGTTCGTCGAGCTGGGCCGGGCTTGGCAGGGCAGGGCGGTGCCGGGCTGGCGCTCGCCGTCAACGTCTTCCCGTTGGCGTCAGCCGGTCGGTTGGCTTTGTGTTGCTACCGCGCTTTTGGGTCGAGGTCCGACCGACGAACAGACGCTTCGTTTGTTGCGCACGACGAGGCCAGGCCTTCTTCAGCCCCGAAAGGGCACCGCCGACTAGCTGCAACGGCGGAGCGCCCGCCGGTGCGGGGCTGTCGACCGGAGTTTGGTCGTCGGCCGCCTTCCAGCCCAGCTTCCCCACCCTCTGCTCGTCTGGCGTCTCTCTGTTGTTGGCGTCTGGCGTCGGCGTCGACGACGGCGGTTCGGGCGTCACCACGTCCGCTGCGCTTCCTTTTCGCCCGCCTCGCTCGTCAAGCGCGACGTCTTTTGTCTGCAGGGCGCAAGATCTTTGGTCGTTCGCTCGCTGCATAGTCTCGGGTCCCAGATGGCCTGGCCCAAAGGAGCGCCATGTCGTGAGCGGAGCCCATACCGACGGATGCTCTCTCTGCCTTGGCCTTGAATCCACCACCTCCCTACGTCCTTCGAGCCAGCCTGTGCTACCGGATCCATCGCCGCACCGGCCGCCCAGAAGCAGATCAGCAGCCGTCCTTTTAGGCCACACAAACCGGGAGAGGAGAAGCGCGCGGCGCACCGCAGCGTACCACCATGCAAGGAGCCGCCCGCGCACGCGCGCTACTCTGGTGGATGCATACAGATAGAAATTGCCTTGCGCCCTGTCCATCCCTGATCGACGATTGGGCACCGCCTCGACCGCCCTGTGCGTGGGCTAACGGTATCGTCGGGACTGGCGATTGACGAGCGCGTTGTTTGGTCGGCGAGATCCGGTGCCAGCCGTGGCCTGGCGTACCACACCGTCGCCGCCGCTGGACGAGCACCGATGCCAACTCGGGCGCCTTTTCTCGCAGCCCTGGCGTATTAAGCGCCGTTGGACCCCTCGACGCCGAGCGCCGCCGCCGCCGCCGCAGCAGCAGCAGCAGCAGCAGCAGTACGTACAACCGGTGTCGTACGCCAGCATCAGCAGCAGCAGCAGCAGCAGCAGCAGCTACGACTGCGTGTCCAGAGATTAAGCAGCGGGAAGGATGTGCAAAGGGCGGCCCAAGTAGCGCCGAGAAGGCAGCAGCCACCACGACCAATCAGCACCAGCATAGTTAGCAGCATGTCAACGCAGCCGGGGAGCCGCTAGGATGGTGGCATCGGGAGTGTGACCCGACCCGGGCCATCGGGGCCACCGAGATGGCGGCCGCGCCTGCGCTCGCGCTCAGACCTCCACCTTCCCCTGCTCGAGAGGAAGAGCGAGGCTGGGTTGGGGCAGCCGGCGGCCGGCTGGTGAGCGTCCATCTACCATTCAGGACACGCTGCTGTCCCTGCCCAGCACCGCCACGACGCCCGCCAGCCCACCCACGACGAGCGGGACACAAGATCGACCACGCAACGAGCAAGGGTCCTGGCGCCGAGGCCGACACCTGACGGCGACGATGGACGATTCTGCGCCGAGCGGGGGCGGGAGCGGGTTGGAACGACGCCGGCATGTCGCCTTCTATCTGCGCCACCTCTCGATGCTGCCGCAGCCCTACACGTCGGCCGACAGCCAGCGCCTGACGCTCGCCTACTTTGCACTGTCTTCGCTCGACCTGCTGGGCGCCATCGAGGGAAAGATTTCGCAGGCGGACCGCGCCGAGTACGCCGACTGGATCTACGAGCAGCAGTGCTCGGCGGAGCGCGGCGGCGGCTTCCGCGGAGGGCCCGGTGTCGGCTCTGCCGTGCCCTCGCTCGCCACGCTGGGGCCATCGGCTTCGGCCGCAGCGGCTCACGCCGTCGATGTCGATGTCGAAGTCGAAGTCGACGCCGGGCTGCCTCCTGTTGCCTCATCGCCGCGCCCGTCTCGTGTCCTCGAGCGCCTGGGCGGTGGCAATCTGGCAATGACCTACACGGCGCTCCTCTCGCTGGCCATCCTCCGAGATGACTTTGCCAGGCTGGACCGCGCCGCGATCCTGGCCCACCTCTCTTCCTGCCAGCAGCGCGACGGCTCCTTTGCGCCCTCGGTAGGCCACCGCGAGTACGACTGCCGCTTCCTCTTCTGCGCCTTTGCCGTCTGCTGGATGCTCGACGACTGGTCGGCCATCGACGTCGACCGTGCCATCGGCTTCCTTCGACGCAGCCGCTGCTGGGACGGCTCCTTTGGCCAGTCCGAGACCCAAGAGGGCCACGGCGGCTCCACCTACTGTGCCGTCGCGGCCCTCGCATTGGCCAACCGGCTCGACGAGCTCGACGAGGTCGATGAGAGCGCAGCACCACCGACGGCGTCAAGCTCGGGCTCGAGTGCGGCCACCGACAGCACCAGCACCGCAGGAGGCGGTCGAAGGGCAGAGCTCGAGAGGTGGCTGCTCAGCAGGCAGCAGAGCGGCACCGGCTTCAACGGCAGGCTCGAAAAGCCCGTCGATACGTGCTACTCGTTTTGGTGCGGCGCCGCGTTGCAGGTGAGTCGGCAGTCGCCCGCAGTCCGCCTCCTCGTCGTCGTCGTCGAAAGGGGGCTCGCGCTGATAGAGCCGCGTGCGCAATCATCGCTCCTTTGCTCTTCTTGCCGACGCCTCCTCTCTCCCCTTGCCCGCCTCAGATCCTCGGACAGCACCATCACATCGACGCGGCCTCGGACATTGGCTGGATCCTGTCCGCCGTGTCGCCCGTCGGCGGCATCTCCAAGGTGCCCGACGACCCGCCGGACCTGATGCACTCGTACCTCTCCACCGCGGCGCTCTCGCTGCACGCGCACGGCGAGCCGGCGCAGAGCGATGAGATCGAGTCGGACGACGCGGCGGCGGTAGCGCTCAGAGCAGGGCTGCGGTCCAGCCTTCAGCCTCTGGATCCAGCGTTGAACCTGAGCGAGAGCTCCAAGGCCTGGCTCGTACAGCATCTTCATCGGCATCGATAGAAGCGTGGTCTCCTCTCACGTCGGTTCGAAATGGATGGCAGCTAGCTCGAATGTCACCTCATCGTCGTCTCGTGTGATAGCAGCAGGCAGTGAAGAAGCTCCACCTCGCGCGCTGTGGCTGCAGCCTCGGGGGAGCGAGCCTTTTTCGCATGGATTTTTCGCGCCATTTGCCCTCGCCAGCTCGAGGCGTTCTAGACGACCAGCTGCCACGCATCCACGCTCGCCGCTGCCGCCACTTGCATCACGACAGCACCTCCGTAGCGTCCTGACGATGTCGATGCAAAGAACCAGAAGTAGATGATTGAGCACCCGCTCGGTGCAAAGCTCCCTGTGCGAAGAGGTCAGCGGCTGGGCCCAGATGGCCGGCAGGCAGAGGATACGGACCCTTCGAGCCCAGCATCGGGTCACGTGCCGTCGCGCGCCCCCGGCTTGGCCGCTGGTGGTGGTGTCTGTTGCTCTGGCGCAGCTGCAGGTTGGAGCGGGTCGGGGCTGGGCCCTGGATGGCCTTTCCGCTTGCCCGCCCGCCTGCCTTCCGGCCTGCCTTCCCACCAACCAACCTACCTACCTCACTCCATCATCCCCATCCGACATTAGCGCTGCAGTCGCCGCCGACCATCCATCCCCCGCCCGGACTTTGTCTGGACTCTCCACTTGCAAGCGTGGAACAAGGCGGAAGCGACCCCCACTGCTCAGCGCCGGCGCGGTTCGCCCCTCCCCCTCCCCCCCCTCAAACCTGGCATAGAAACACGGCCGCTGCATACACATCAGCACAGCCGCCCCGCTGACCGACCATCAGCAGCGACATCCACAGCATCGCTGCTTGGACCAGGCACTCGGTATCGGGCATCGTCCAGCCACCCACCTTACTCCCCAACGGTTCGTCCCCCTCCGCCGTCACGACCACCATCCCGCGCCAGCGATGATGGACGACGCCACCACCGCGATGGAGCTCTTCGCCTGCCGATCAGAGCTCGAGTACTCCGAGGAGCGCGTCAAGCTGCTAGAGGCCGAAAAGAAGCAGCTGCAGGCCAAGATCAGAGCCTACGAGTCCTCCCAGCGCGATCCGGATCGCCTCGGCGAAGGCTCCGACCGCGTCCCCTACCAGCAGCAGATCGAGCGCCTCAACCAAGACCTGCAGCTCAAAGAAACCAAGATCCAAGAGCTCTACGCGATGCTCGAAGGCCTCGATAAGCAGACGGCCGAAGCACACGAGCGCGCCCAGCTGCTCGACAGGCAGTGCAAGAACCAAGACGTCGAGCTCGAGGCGCTCCGATCGCAGAAGTCGGGCATCGAGGGGCTCGAGACCTTTAACAAGGAGATTGAGCGGATGAATGGCGAGCACCGCGACCTGCTCAAGGCGCTGACCAAGCGCGAGGCCGAGAACAGGGCAGCCAAGCGACTGCTACGGCGCTTGACGACGCTCATGGCGGGGTTCACGCCTCCATCCAGCCTAACGGACCTCGACGGCAGCGACAGCAATCCTCCCCACGGCATCGCAGACATCGACGCCTCGTTCGACACCAGCCGCACCCTCGACCCAGATTCCTCGATCATCACGCCGACCTCGCTGGTCCTCTCCACGGCCGCCGGCGACAAAGTGGCGCGCGGCTTCGACGAGGACATCATCGACGACATCGAGGCTGCCCGGCTCGGCTGGGAGACGGCGCAGAATAGGATCGCCTTTCAGGCCGTCGAAGATAGGCTGCGGCTCAAGCGCGCTCAGGATGAGGCCGAGCAGCTCCAGGTCCGCAACCAGCAGCTCGAGCGCCAGGTCTCGGAGCTCTCATCAACTACCACGGCGGCACCGCAACAGCAGCAGCACCAAGACTGCGGCAACAACGACGAGATCGTCCGTGCTCACGAGGCCGAGGTCGCCCGGCTGCGAGAGGAGACGGAGCGGGTCCGGTTCGAGGGCGAGGTTACGATGAAGGCGACGGCGCAGAAGGCCGAGCACAAGATCGAGATGCTCGAGGGCCGCCTCGAGGAGAGCGAGGCTCGCACTCAGGCCATCAAGGAAATCTTCGCGTCGCTCCAGTCGAAGCGCGACAGGCTCTCGCGGATCGAAGAGAAGAGCACGACCGTCAAGAGCCTCGAGAGCCAAATTCGGTCGCACCTCGAGACGGTCAAGGCGTTCGAGACCGGGCGATCCCACCACGCCGAAGAAGTCCAGGAATGGATCGCGCAGGCCAAGCAGCTCGGCGACTCGCTGCAGCTCCTCGCCATCGAGCAGTCTGCCTCGTCGAACGCAGAGGCCTCGGCCAAGGTCAAGGAGCAGCTCGAGGGGACGCTCGAGAAGCTCAGGCTGGCCGAGAGCGAGATTGCGGCGCGGTCGGAGCGAATCGGCGAGCTCGAGGTCGCTGCCGACGAGGCGTTCTCGACGCAGTCGCGTCTCGAAGAGGAGCTCCAGGCAGCTCGCGAACAGCTCGCTGACGCTCGAGACTCGCTTCGAGACGTGCAGGCCGAGGCCGACAAGCGCAAGATCATGCTCGACGACGTGCAAGGCGACCTCTCAGACGCGAGGGACCAGGTCGGCCAGGCGCAGTCGGCCGCTACCGAGCGCCAAGAGCGCATCGAGAAGTTGTCTGACACGATCTCGCAGCTGGAAGCCGACATCGACGCGTCTAAGGCGAACCAAGCTTCTCGAGACGAGGAGCTCGCACGGCACCGCGCCGAAGTTGGGCAGAGGGCGGAAGAGCTCGCCGAACTCCAAGCCGATTGCGACCAGAAAGCCGGCGAGCTCGCCCGGCTCCAAAGCCTCGTCGACGAGCAGACCGCGGAGCTGACGAAGCGCGACGACGTGATCCGGCAAAAGGATCTCGACCTCGACTCGCAGCGATCCATGATCTCTGAGCTGCACAACGAGATCAGCGACATCTTGGCATCCAAGGAAGAGCTCACGAAGCAGGTCGAGACCCTCGAGACCGACCTCACCGCCACGAGATCTGCCGAATCATCGGCAAGGCAAGCTGCGACCGAGGCGCAGAAGGAAAAGGCGGCGTTGAGCGACGAGATCGAAGAGCTGCAATCGCGCGTCCTGCGGCGCAACGAGCAGATCGGCGGGCACCAAAAGGAGATCGGACGCCTCAAGACGGAGCTGCAGAAGCTCAAGATGAACGAGGCGCTGGCGCAGGACACGGGCGAGGAGCTCATCGAGGCGCGACTGAGCCTTGAACGGCGTATCGCAGAGCTCGAGGAGCAGCTCACGGCTGCCCAGACTGAGCAGCAGGGAACTCGCCGATCTCTGGACACCGAGTCGGCCGAGACGCAGCGGTTGCGCGACGCACTCGCCGCCACCGAGTCGCGACTCGAGTCTTCCACTGGCGAGGCCGCCGAGCTTCAACGACAGCTCGACGAGAGCAACGCGCGAGCAGCTGCCGAGAGGAGCGATGCCGCCGACGAGCTCGCCAAGGCTCAGCAGCAACTAGGCGACAAGCTCAAGCAGCTGAGGAAGCTGGATGCCCGCGTCGAGCAGCTCACCGCGCAGACCGAATCGCTGGCCGCTGCCAAGGAGGAGCTTGAGGCCCGCTCCGAAGAGCTTCAGTCGCGCCTTGTACAGGCCGAGCAGGGCCAGGACGCGACGATTGCGCAGCTTCGCGAGCAGATTGAAGCCCTCGACAGCGATGCATCGGCCAAGGTGGTCGAGCTGCAAGAGGCCACCGCGCAGGCCACGCGCTCTCAGGACGAGATCGCATCGCTGACCGAGCAGGTGAGGTCGCTCACCGCCGACCTGGACGACAAGATGGCCGAGGCCGAATCGGAGCGCGCCCAGCTCTCCGAACAGCTGCTGCGCGCGGAGCAGGCTCAAGGCGAGCGAGAGGAGGTCATCGCGTCCTTGCAGGCGAATATTTCGGCTCTCGATACCGAAGTCGTCGCCAAGGCCACCGCGTCCGGCGAAGTCGCCGCCAGACTCGAAGAAGCCGAGAACGAGGTCAAGAGACTCAATGCGGAGCTCGAGCGCGTTCAGGCTGATGCAGCAGAGGTCGCCGCTCACGAGCGCAAGCAGCTACAAGCACAGCTCGACGAGGCCCAGTCTCGCGCCGACTCGCTCTCAGCCAAGCTCCAGCAGACCAAGCAAGATCTGCAGCAGGCACATGCCGCAGAGCTCACCGAAGTCCGCGCTCTGACCGAGACCACGCAGTCGGCCCTCGGCAAGAAGGTCAACCGTCTCGAGGGCGAGCTCGCCGACACCCGCGAAGCGCTCCTGGAAGCGCAGCAAGCCGTTGCCACCAAGGCGCTCGCGCTCTCGGAAGCCCAGGCTCTGGTGGGCATGCTGCAGGCACAGAACGTCGAAGCCGAACGCGACCACGACGCAAAGGCCCAGGCCGACCGAGAGGCTACGGATGCGCGCGTACGCGCGCTCACCGAAGAACTGGCGGATGTGCAGAGCAAGCTCAGCGAGCAAGAGGCCCTCGAAAAGGCAGCCGAAGAGCTGTTCGAGAGGATCGACGTCTGGCTGGACGACAACAAGCGTTCGCTCGACACCCTCCACAAGGAAAAGAGCCAGCTGTCTGCCGATCTGGCCGAGGCTCAAGGAGCCCTCGCTCGCAGCAAGGACGACGTCAAGACGCTCACCGAGACGCTCCAAAAGGGTGCCGAGGAGCAGGTCAACGACGCCCTCGCCTCGCTGGACCAGGCGCGGGACGAGCTCGAGGCGTCGCAACTCCGCTGCGCCGAGCTTCAGGAGCACCAGCTGCAGCTCGAGAACCAGGTCAAGGCGCTGCAGATTGAGACCCAGAGGATCGAGACGCTCGAGGCCGAGCTCGAGGAGGTGCGAGGCGCAGCGCAGGTGCTGAGCGAGGACAAGGCCAGGCTCGAGGAGGAGGCTGCGTGCCAGGCCAAGAAGATCGACGAATCCAGGCTCGAGGCGGAGAACCTGGCGACCGCGCTGGCCCGGCAGCAGCAAGGCTTTGACGCCAAGATTGACGAGGCGGAGAAGCAGAGGCATGGTGAGTTGGCCATGGTGCTTGACCTGCACTCTGCCGAAGACAGAGCGAAGCTAACATTGGCGTGGACTTCTATTTGTCCTGATTGCCCGCCATCACAGAACTTGCTGGCGCTCTCGAAACCGCTGAGGCGGAGTTGGACGGCATCAAGGGCGAGATGGAGTCGGCCGAGGTCGAGCTTGCCTCTCTCCGCCGTCTCCAGTCGGAACGCGCCGCCAGCGCCGAGACGGATGCGGCGCTCGCGGACGAGCTCGCCGCGGCACGGAAACGGATCCAGCATCTTGAAGGCGAGGTCGCAGAGCACCAGGCGACAATCTTGGCAATTCGGAAAGATCTCGACCGCACGGCGGAAGAGGCCGAGGCGCAGCAGCAAAGCTCCTCGCGCAGTCTCGAAGAGGCTGAGCAGCGCCTCGCACACACCTCGGAAGAGCTGGAGGCGGCGCGCAAGGCCATCGAGGAGCGCGAGCACGCCGCATCGCAGAGTGCCGCAGCGGCAGCCGAGCAGGAGGCGAGCCTGCGGGAGCGGATCGTCGCACTCGAGGCCGAAGTGGCGCAGGCCCAGTCCCGCGCCGCATCGTCGACGACATCGTCACGCGACCGCGAGGACCTCGAGCAGCAGCTCGCAGACTCGCGGGCACGTCTCTCGGAGCTCGAAGAGGTGCTGTCGGACCGCGAGGCGGCGATGAACGCTCGCAACGACGAGTACTGGTCGCTCAAAGAGGAGGTGGCGGAGCTGCAGGAGCACGTCGAGCGTTCGCGCGTCGCCTCGGCGGGCGTCGAGGAGCTGTCGTCGCAGCTCGACGAAGCGCAGCAGGCGCTCGAGACGGTCCGGAGCGAGAAGGCGGCCCTCGAGGCCGAGAGGACGCGCCTGTCGGCCGACTACGAGGCGCTCAAGCAGCGGTCCCAGGAGGAAGAGGTTGACCGAGCGCGGATCCAGGAGATGGAGAGGCGCATCGAGGCGCAGGCCGAGACGCTGCTCAAGTACAAGTCGGACGTCGCCAGGCTGCGCACCCAGCTGGCCGAGACCGAGTCGAAGCTCGCAGAGACCAGCGCCGCCGCAGCCGCCGCCGTCGCGGCAGCCGCCTCTGCGTCGACCTCGTCGTCGTCGGCCGAAGTGCGCGAGCGCATCGACCACCTCGAGGCCGAGGTGCAGCGGCTGACCGACGAGCTCCAGGTCGCCGTCGATGACCTCGAGGAGGCCAACTCCAAGGAGCTGGCCGCCATGAAGGAGAGCCACAAGCTCAGCAAGAAGCTCAAGATGATGGTGGTCAAGAATGCCGAGAGCGAAAAGGCCAGGAAGGAGGTCGAGGACCGCCTCGCTGCCATGGAGGCCGCTGCCGCCAAAAAGCCGATGTTGTCGTCTTCTGCAGCGGCACTGGCTACGACGACGCCGAGAGGCAAAGAGGCGAGCGCCAGAGAGGAGAGGAGGGTCTCGCCTCTGCCTTCGTCCTCGTTGTCGTCGACGGCGATGTCGAGGAAGCGATCACAGCCCGAGGATGCCACTGATTCGGCGTCGTCGCCGGTCACTCCAGGCTCGGCAGGTACGGATGGCGGCGGCGACAAGGGCGTCTCGGACGTCAAGGCCCTCTTTGTGCCTCGGGAGCGCGAGAAGACGGGCTTCACCCCGGTCCGCCGACCGGGATCCCGACCCATCTCTCGATCCAACACGAGCGCCGCCGCCGCCGCGGCAGCGATGCACGGCATCGTCTCGCCGTCGGTCCCAGCGACGACTACGGTGGCCCAGTCCGCGCACCGGGAAGACAGCGCGCCGATTCAGAGGTCGACATCCAACCCGTCCGACCTGGTGCAGCATCGCCTTTCCCCCGCCAAATCCACCATCGTCCTTCCCACTCCTCCTCCCACCGCTCCCACCGGCACGACGAGGTCGTCGACTGACCTGGCATCCTCTCGGCCCGTTCCGACGACGACGACGACGATGAGGGAAGCGCGACCGACGACGATGCTCGCGGACCGCACCAATACGCTCCCCTCGTCGCTCAAGTCCAAGGGCTACAGCGGGCTCAAGAGCAAGACTACCTCTTTGGACGCCGTACACCCCGCTTCGGCCGCCGCCGCCGCCGCCGCTGCCAAGGTGGTTCGTGTCAACACCGTCACGACCACCGCCGCGGCGGCAGCGGCAGCGGCACCAGCGGCAACGGGGACGGGGACAGGCCACTCGGCGGCCGACTTTTTTGGC